ATTTTCATATATGTACATAAAATCAGGACTGTTGACTATAGTGGATTATAATTTAAAATAAACAACGAATAATAATAACTGCAGCTAACACCACATTTTTATTAACAGAAATATCACTATTTTTACTATGACTAGTTCATACTTTCAATTAAATACATAATATTATATATTATCTTAATATATATAAAACCACAATGTCAGATTTTTATGATTGAATAAAAATCAACTATTATGAACTATTAAACTAAGCATCATTATTAATGACGCAACGATCCTAGTTGAATCTAGACCTCCCTTAAAATTGGCGTAATTGCTATTAAAAAATAGGTAGTGCAGCTCAAAAACCCAACTTGCGTTTATACTAAACTCTAACAACATATATATATATATATATACATATGTTACAATAAATATATAATATGATATATAATATTATATGTAACATGTAATATAAAATGTAAAATATAAATATACTAAAAGATATAATGATAAAACAGGGTTCTTAAAATCAGTAATCACAATTGTGCTTGACATGTAAGTATAGAACTGCGTGATGAAATAAAAGTACATTATATTCCAAACTGTAATGCTAAACAATGATAGACAAGAACATTATCGGGTAAGAAACTAAGTCACCGTAACAAGATTTGAACAAACGAAAGGTCTATGAAAACACCGGAAATGAAACCGGAAAAATTAAAGAGTTATACATGGCAAAAACATATTCAAAATGTACTCAAAAAATCCATTAAGCATGTCAGCCATTATAATTGGTAATAAGTTAAAGTGTTTCCAATGTGTATAGTAAAACAAAAGTAAATAGAACAGCCAGAAGAGAGAATATTTCGCTTTTAGAAGAGCAAAATCAAGACAATATAGACTGTTCATTCTCTTCGATTCAAACGAACTTAATAAAAAAAATTTATTTCATAAGATATAATGCTGAACGCACTATATTATATGATGACATAGAGCTTGTAGCTCTATCGGATGCGGAATTCACCACCAGCTCATAGGGGACCAAAAGACTTCCGAATAACTTGTATCTCAAAAACTTCCAGTGTCATTATATCATTTTATGATACCGTCATTGCTGCTTGCTCATACAAATGCACATGTAGGCTGACCAACCCATTATAGCCCATTGTAGTCATCAGATCTTTGTCTGGTGATTGAGGTATATAATTGCGAATTAAATTCTGTAAAAAACACTTTTAATACAAAAATATTAAAAAGAATTTTTTATACATGTAATTCCACAGTAAAGATTTTTGTAAGACGACTGCTTGGTTAAATTACTATTACAATAACATGATCCATAATTCGTACTCTAATCTGCAAATATATTTTGGATCAAGTCAACCGCAATTTTTATTTTAAATCTTTTCCTTATTAATTTATATTCAAATGTCAAACTTCTACCTCTTTTATCATAGCTTTTTAAGAGTTTTTATCATAGGATCCAAACTATATATTAATTTCATTTGTAAACATTAATTACTAAAGAAACCTATGAATGAATCTTTTTATTTTTTGAAAAAGTGACATTTAATTTGTTGTTGTTGTTGTTGTTGTCGTCTTTTGTAGCTGGATGACTTTTCCGTACCCCACATTAAGCTTTAACTATACTAGAATTATTATCGACGGTGACGGACTGTAGGTCAGCATATCATCCTGTGCGTCCTAAGGGTGGACTAAAGCTTTGTTAGAGCGGGGTTGGGCAAGTTATCGACTTTTGTAAATAATTTTAGGGCTCTGACCTTGATATATTTTTTTACTGAGTCGATCCTTAGATCACTATGCATGTCTGTTGTTTTAATATATATTGCATTTAAACTGAGAATAAGACAATGAGAAGAATCTTTATAATATTTTAAATACTGTTGAATAAATTTTGAATTCTGTCAGGAAGTAGAATCTTAATTAAAAAAATCGTCATCAGTGAATAACAATTATAAACTATTAAATGTTAATAAATGATACAAAGGAAGATAGTTCTTTAAAACTGTGGTATATCGCAGATGTACGTAATATATTCTAGACACAAAGCAAACTTATAAAGATATTATATTTTGCACAAAATAAATTAATTAAAAAATAACAAATAAAAAACTTGTTAATATTTTTTTAAAAAAGATAAATCGTACATTCACCTTTAAAAGATACACAGTAACAAACCACAAAGTGAAATATTGCCAATAAATTTTCACTATAATTGCAGAAAATTAAAATAAATTTCATTGAAAACAACGACAGAACAAATTTTAATTGAACTTTTTTGTTATTGTTTTTGTTGTTCCTGTTAATGTTAATAGTCGCATATGATACTAACAATAACAATAACAATAGCAATAAAAATAATAATAAATAACAGTAATAAAAGTAATTCATTGGAGACAAATTCATGTTCTCGACTTAAGTCACAAATATAATAAATTAAAATAAAAAAACGATAATATATCAAAGATGCAAAAACTGGGCAGTATCTTTAGTAAATGGAAATATACCAGAGTAAATTTAAATAAAAGGAGTATTTTATATTTAAAATCAAAAATATACAAGGCAACATATTTGAATATTACATATAGTATATTCAGTCCATATATAATTTTTAATTATTTATTATATAAAATATAACATTATACATCTATTCAATAATCTATCTAAATATAATAATTTTTTTTTTAACGACCGAAAATAGAAGAAATCTTATACTGTATTGTGATACAATACCGTGTTCAAAATGAGATGAAATTTACGGGAACTTAACACCGCCATATACAGTAGTAAAAAAGTGAATGGTACCAACTTAGAGAATGGTTCTGTATGGCCAAAAATTGCCGCCACTGTCACCGCTGACCAATACATCGGAAAATCATCATTAAATGATATTAGATAGTCGTTAAGCTCTGTTTAGCTAAGGAGACTCTCTCTAGGAATAGAACAGTACATCTCATAAGCCTCAATGGATTAAATATCAAAGAAATAAATGAGCCTTGAAGAAGGCATAGATGATGTTATCAACCGGGAACATTATGGATAGAGTTCATTGAAATGACAATGACGTGCTGCTGATTAACTATTTTAAAAGCAGTCGCACAATAATTAAGGCAGTATATCTTACAATTTCATTGGATGAATTGAAGTTCGTAATTAACATAAAACGTCCGCATTTGGAAAGGTTAAAAGTTTCATACCACCAACACAATATACTGGCTTACACTTTGGCAATCACAATGGCTTAAACAAATTTGTTGCATTTAAAATGGAATGGCCTTATACCATTTATTCACCTGATATGGCTTTGTAAAATAATAAAAT